GACTTGCATCAACGTAGACGTCATCATCGGTCTTACGTTCCTGTACAGCGCAATCTCGGTCATTAGCGACTTCACGTTTGCTATTCTACCCTTCTTCCTGATCTGGGGCTTGAACATGTCCGTCAAGACCAGGGTCCTTTTGATTCCTATTCTTGGGATGGCCTGCGTGTAAGTTTTCTTGTCATTACTTCAGCAAACGATTCCTAACAATCCTGCAGTGCTAGTGTCGCAGTCTGTGTGCGCATGGGTTACGTTATGGATTTCAAGAACCCCGACTTCCTCTGGGCCACTGTTGATATCGCAATCTGGTCGGACATCGAACAGGGTCTCGCCATCACGGCTGGCTCCCTCGCTACTCTCCGTCCCCTCTGGCGACAAGTTTCTGAGAAATTCGGATTCAGCAACTCCTCCTTCGGCCCGTCACGTCCTTCGAACATGCGAACACCACAATGGGTCAACGACCCGAACAGAGAATCGAAAAAGAAGCCCAGCCTCTTCAGCATGACAATGTCTCTGCTGAAGACTGAAAAGGGTGTGTCTACGAAGTCGGAGATCGACCAGGACTACGGCATGGGCAATCTTCAGCCAGTACGGCTCCGCGATGATCTATCCGCGGAAAACGAGAAGAGCGACAAGGTGTTCAACACTTGGAGAATCAAGGGTGGTGGAAAGGTGTCTGATGAGGAATGCAGAGTTGGAGAAATCACAATGGAGACGCACATCAACCAGAAGAACGAGAGGCGGTAGGAATGGAGAAGGCAACTGGAGTGGACAGTGAACGATATGGACGACCTTGTTATTAGCTAATTTAGATTCATGATACCATCCTCATGGCGGCGCGAGCCAGTCAAAACAATACAAAAAAAGGATATACACAGCAGACTTGCACATATCACAGATGCTTTAGGGTGTCTTAATGTCTTGCGTGGTATAGAGCTCATGTACGATGCTCGCCTCCATCAATACATGCAAGTTGAAGCGAGATTCGTTGGCGGTGTATGTAACCTTAGAACGTTTTGACTAAAGGGATCTAAGTATCAAGAACTACATGATCCAGGTCAAACTCTAGCGCATAACCAACTCCAAGTTTCACAATCACCGTTTATTGTACATTACTCGTTTTCGCCCTCAAGAAATTTTCAACCATCTCATCACTTACTTCCGTCACATTGGCCGGTTGACTGCGGGACTCCCCTTTGCTCCCCACTGCCGAATCTGGACGTTGGTCGGCACGTGGGCTCACGTCGCCGACCTTCTGAACCGGCCCATCCGGTGCAAAGCCGTTAGACGTCGCTGCCGTGCCCACTGCGCCAGCAGCCCCACTGCGTTGTTGATCTTGGTCATTTATTGATCGTCTGCCCTCTTGCGTCCGCCCCTGCGTTTGCGCTCCACCCATCCTTTCGTTTGATGGTGTGAGGTTGCCGTGGAACGGGCGCTGTCGCTGCTTCGCGGCTTCCTTGTCGACTTTCCAAATGCCGCCTGACGGATCGACAGTGTAAGCTTGCGGGTCATGCTTTACTAATCTATCGAAGATCGGGTCGTTGGGTACTGTTTTGAAGAAGACGTGTTGAAACTCCTCGCCCTTCGCTTCTTCGTCTTTCCGCATCTGCCTTTGGCCATTTTCAACTACATTCTTCGCAGTCGAAACGCCCTTCATGTCGCCTTTGTGCAGGGATGATATAACATCGCCCCATGCTTTGCGACTCTCCCATGGGTCTTGCTCTGAGAGGTCGGGCACAGTCATGGGTTTGTGCTTGATGGTTCTGACGTCGAAGGTCTCCACCTCGGAACCGTTCCGCGCGTCCTTGATGGTAAACGTGCTGTTCCACGCTCCCTCGATTTCGTAGATGGTCTCACCAGGCTTGTCTGCGTGAAAAAATCTTGCGTGGAATCCATTTTTGTGCCCTGAGCCAAACAAAGACTTGCCCTCGAATTTGATATGAGATATGTATCCGTTGGATGAGATGAGAGAATATTCGCCGTACAACTCCGGATGTGGAACCCCGCCTAAGAGACCCTTGACCTTAATGTTCGGCAGTGGAAGGAGGTAATCTTCGTCGTACTTGTCGACATGTACTATGGCGTATCCCTTCTGTTTGATACTGACGTTTCCAGAAAATGTGATTTCTTGCTCCGTAAACCCCTCCGCCCGGATCCCAACTTGATCGTTCCACAAATAGCACGCCGTTACAGGTGGATGGTGGCCGACTTGCTCGGAGATTAGTCGCGTCTCGCCCAGCTCCTCAGTATTCCAGCTTCCGAGGAACAGCTCGCCGAGAAAAGCGTTCAACGGCTTCTTGACGCCATCTTCCTCATTCCGCCCCGCATATTGCTGTCCTCGTAATGAGCCTAGGAAGTTCTTGAGCACAAGCAACGCGCGTTTCTCAGGGTCCTCTTCCGACGCAGGCGCAGCCCAGAGATATGGATGATCCGCCCAGTACTGTGGTATCTCAACTGTCGAGTTCTCGGCTAGTACGAACGGCGGTGCAGTAATGTTTGAAAGATCTCCTGAGATGGTCGCTATAGAAGAAATAAAGTCCTTGAGCCCAGAGCGGTTTGCTGCGATATCATTTGACATAATTGCGATTTTAGGTTTGACTTGGCTATCATCAATGCCGGGCAATGAACCTAGTTATGGGGAAGATGAGTGACTTCCCAAAGTAGCGCCAAGTCATGACGTCGGTGGTGCAAGACCCTACGACCTGCGGCTAACAACGTGAGATCTGGCTTGCCCTGAATTTCGGTAGGCTGTGCACCAACGACTCCAACGCCGCATCGCGCAATCTGCCGTAAACGCGTACGCGATCGATGTTGGCCCGTCGCATAATCAGCCCGATCCAGCGTAGTCCGACTGCATGTGAGCGACGCGACAGCGACGTCGCGTATTCCTCCCTAACGGTCTCATCCCGCGACAGATCCAAGCTCATTGGGACGATTAGCAACTAACCACCGACGACCAGGACAGATTCTCGCCAGTTAGGCAACCTACTGCAGACTTCACTCGACATACTCTGCTTACCACTCATCCGACATACCCGTCTTGGCATCATCACCACATCGAGCCTACCAACAGGTGTGGAAAGCTGTGAACGAGACGGGTTAGGCTGCAGTTGCTTTGCCTCATGAACGTTGTCATTTTTGCTAAGAACAACAAAACCTGCTCACGGCGCAGGATAACTCAGCGCAAAAGCCTCTCTGATTTCATCTTCGCCCCATCCCATCGTCAATCCCAACTGCAACAGAATTCTCGCCTTCTGTGGGTTGTAAAACCCACTCGCAATAGTAAAGTCGCCACCGTCTGGAACGAGTCCATCTGCACTTCGATGGCTAGCCACGATTGGAATACCAGTCGCGTTGTAGAGCTCTTCTGCAGCCAGACCCGCTTTGCTTGATACGCCTCCTGCGCCAACTCCAGCGTAAACGATACCTTGGGCGCCGGAGGCATAGGATGCGTTGAAAAGACTGGGATCCATGTCTTGATGTGCGTAAAGGATTGGTACGGAGGCTAGGTCGGTGATGTTGGTTACGTCAAAAACTACGCGGCCTACGGGCTCAGAGGGCGCGAAGAAGAAGAATGGGACTTGGTTGATGAAGACACCGAGTTGGCCGGCTTCAGTTGAGAAGAATGTGTCGAGGGTGTTGGCGTTATTCTTCGTTGTGTAGAATGCAGAGCCGATGCGGTCGTTGAGCACAATCTAAGGGTACTGTTAACTGACTTTTCTAGTTCAGCCTTTGCTCATTTACTCACCATCGTTCCTCGATTTCTTCCAGCTGGAGATCCGGCCAGTGTGACCGCTTGGCATAGATTGAGCGGGCCGTCTGCACTCAGCGCGGTCGCTGGTCTCATAGCACCAACGACAATAACAGGTTTCGTAGAGTTGACGGTGCTCTCCAAGAAGAACGCAGTCTCCTCAAGCGTATCCGTTCCATGTGTAACCACAACACCCGAAATCTCATCTTTCGCCAACTCAGCATTGATCATATGCGCCAGACTCAGGCTGATAGTCTCATTGATGCTGCCAGATCCCACGTTCGAGATCTGGTAGCCCGCAATGTTGGAGATGTTGAGCAGTTCTGGGACGGCATCGACTAGCTGTTGGACTCCTAGGCCGATTGAATAGCCGGTCGTCTGTGTGTTGCTGTTTCCCTGAGACGCGATTGTACCGCCGGTTGCGAAGATGGTGACATTGGGAAGAGAAGCGTTTATTGGTGTTTGGATGTCTTGTCGGACGAACAGTCGGTGGACATTTGAGCGACTGAGATCAATCGGTGAAGCTAGTGTGAGAGTCGTGAGAAGAGGAAGGACTTGGGTAGAGAGCTTCATCTTTGCGTATGAAGGAGGTAAGTAGCTGGATCACAATCGACTTCCTCAGAAACTCGAATTGGCCTTTTATACTCGTCGTGACCTCCAACTCATGCAGCTCCAATGCCAAGCTCACCGTCGGCCAACCTACAACGCCTATCTCCACGGCTTCTTATCAAGCCATTGTCAAGCTACTGTGAAGATACTGTCGTCATGCCGTCTTGGTATTTCTACAAGCAGCTCGATTAGTGAGTTCTGCGAGTCGTAGTCAAGCTTCGCTCTCTTGGCCATGCAAGTCCTCCGAATTTGTCGTGGTATGGTCGGGTCTTATCAGTAAGCCTTGCATGCGATAACCCACCCTCTGGATCCGCTAGAAGATATCCAGTAAGAACGCCAAGTATGTTTTTGCAAAGCTCGATGACTAGGCATCGTTCTTGATAGCCGTTACCGGCCTCTAGTCGTGAGGCTTACGTTTTGTTTGCTCTGGGACTTGGGTGGGCGGTACATGGATGTGGAGGTGCGAGAGCTGTGTCCTCTCGGAGGTATTGTGGTGACCCCGCTCACTCACGCCTTTCGTCCCGATTGGGAACCAAACGACGAGAAGGCGTGACTGAAGCAATTTCTTGACGAAAAGTACAACACGACGATGTGATTCCTTCATGGATCTCCATACTACTCTTCTATTTCTATAACAACAATGTGCCCACCGTCCGACCTGGCCATCGCCGAAGCCCAAGATGCAGACGACAAAGCATACAAGCACCTTTCCGAGCACAGCCTCGATACATCAATATCGAAAGCCGCATATGCACATGCAGCTGAGCTGCTACATCCGGCGATTCTGAACCACAGCATAAGGGTGTATCTCTACGCCTACGGATTGGCAAAACACGAATCCTCCAAGTACTTCACAGACGTTCATCAACGCGATCTACTCTTCACCGCATGCCTTTTCCACGATATCGGGACTGCGCAAGGTTATGATGGCCCGCAGCGCTTCGAGATCGAGGGCGCCGACGCCGCAGTCAAATTCCTAATTGGCTTTGGGGTCGGTGGGACAGAGGCGCACGATGTCTGGACAGCCATCGCGTGCCACACCAGCCCACAGATCGCCGAGAGAATCGGAGAGCTTTCGAGGCTTGTTCGGGTCGCTGTTATTACGGATTTCGGGCGGAGAGGCGAAGGTTATGAAGTGCTCCAGTCACTGACAGAGAAACTGGAGGTGCAGTACGAGCGGGCGGGGATCGAAAAGGTGCTTGGTGATGCGGTGGTGGAGCAGGCAAAGCGGAAGCCAGAGAAGGCGCCGAAGGTTTCGTGGCCGCGTGCGATGTATGAGGCATGGCTCGTGGAGCCAGAGTGGGACGGTGTCAACAAGGCGTTTTGAGAGGCTGTATGCGAGCTTCGTATCCTACAGTCTTGTAAATCCACCCATGTAGTCACGTCTTCAACCTCCGTCGCTCCTCTCCAGGAAGCCCGGATCCCTTTCGATCTTGCCCTCGAACTTTGTCCACCATGCCTGGAATGCCTTCAACGGCACTGTGTCTCCCGAGCCCCAGCTTGTCAAGAAGTCGTAGCAGTTCTTGATGATCCTCTGCGCCAGCACCTTGGTCTCCACGCTTCTTTGTCCTCTCAGCACCAACTCATTGCCTTGTCCCATGCTTGGTGTTGCCGATGCTGCGGCCTCTTGAGCCTTGTTCTGCTCCAGGGCTGCGGCGACTTGTTGCGCTGGTTCAACGCTTATCCCGAGGGCCAGCGGTGCGGTGCTGCCATTCGACGCGTCCATTGACACGCCCTCGTCCACCATGGCATCGTCATTGTCGCCTAGGCCACCACCTGCAGGTCCACCAGCTTTCGCGTTCACTTTGAATATCGCGCTAGGCTTCTCGTTCGCGATCGCGCCGAGGAGTTTGAAGTCGGTAGTACCGGGTAGTTGCGCGTAGACGGCGGCGGCGGTGCCATCTGGCAAGGTGACGCCCGGAAGCAGGAAGACGACGATGTGGGAGAAGGACGGCTGCGAAGGGATTTGGAAGGCGAACTGGGTCGGCGATATAACGGAGGAAGGCTCGGTGAAGACAGGCCGCCCTGAGATGATAACACCGACTGAAGACATGTTCACGTGTCGCAAGCGCGTGAATCGAAGCTATGCGAGAAAGAAGTACTTGAGATAGCAGTAAGGCTGCAAGCCGCGCGTGAAAAAGTTTGACATGCAACAATCATCGTTGCGCAGCCTTTGCGACATTTCGAGATGCTTCTGCGTCATTCTTGGTCCAAGCTTTACCCCACATTCACTCGTGTGTGTGAAGGAGCTCAGACTGGCCGTGAGTTGAGATGACGTTTCGTGCTGCATCACAAGAAAAGCGAACGTTCTAAATTTAGTCATTTCGTCAGACTTCTGAATATAGCATGCCCGTAACTCCCTCGCAATGAATAACGCAACTACCCTCAGCTCATCTCACATCCTAAACCCATGCACAGCGCTGACCCACCGTTGGTCGATTAGCTCGCTAACCCTCATCAGAACGCGATATCCACCCATCAAAGCTTGGAATGAATGGATTCGCTCCTCTTCACCCATCAGTAAGAAGCGGGCGAGACCAAATGCTGAGACAGTCTTCGCGTGATGGGTCGAAGAAGGAGCTATCGGCATGTTCAAGGGTTTGCGGAGCCATGCCATGATCACTTGAGCAGCGAATGGGTTGAGGCCGACTCGACGGAGGAAGACTTCCCAGCTTGTCTCTTGCGCCACAGGCTTGATGTCGCCAATGTCTGCTGAGCCATATGGCAGTCCGTAGTTTGCCATCTCAACAACAGTGGACCGCGCCAGAGCCTGTTCCCCTCCACGAACATATCGAACAAGTACTTCGCCTTCTAATTTGCTGGCGAACGTATCGAAAGCTCTCAGAGCTTCTGTATCTCGTGGGTCATCTGGTCGGCTCGATCCTAGCTCTTCCATCTCGCGGCTTAGGCCTTCACTCACCAGCACTACCAGTCTCTCGTACCGCAACTGGAGCTTCAACATGCGTTCTTTCACTGGCGATCTTTCTGACTGACCAGGGAGAGCTCTTTGTTTGACCTGCTGTAAAGTAGTGAAGATGAGGCCGGTTGATGGTGACAGTATGATTTCAGCTTCTTTGGCTGCCGAGTGCGGTAAAGTGTAATCTCGATACACCATCTCTGCGCTTGGATGGATGGATTCGATCAGTTTCAGCATTCCCCTTTGTTGTAGGAAGGTTGATGAGATCACGAAAGAACAAGGCGCCAGGTTATTCGGAACAGTAGGGAGCATAGGTAACGGCTTGTTGGTGGTTTGCGCCTGCTGAGCCTGATCCACTGGCTGGTCGGATGAAGACCCCCTTGATCGAACCGGTAAGGTGTGCGTTCTCGGTTGAGCGTGATCCCTAGAATCAGACGCTTTTGCAGTACTACTTTCTACGCGATCTACTGGCTTCCCTCGCGTCTGCATGAACTTGTTAAGCGCGGTTGTTGCCGAGAACCCACCAAACATCAGGTCTCCAGTCGCTTGTTTGGCGGCTTGCGGTTTCTGGGAGGCATGGTCCAGCCTCTTCGATCGGGTCTTCGCCGACTGGTCTTCTGTTGGCTCGCGTTCTCCGAAGTGGTGGTTCTCTTGCATCTTTGTGGAGGATCGGATCTGGGGACGCGCAGTTGGCTGCGAAGAGGTGCGCCTGCGATGCTTCTCCACGACCTCTTCTTCCATTTCAAGTTTTCGCTTGCGTAACAGAGCCTCCATGTCGTTTCGCTCATCGTATTCCTCTGGATCCAAATCTTCCTCGTCCTCATCTTCGTCAAGGATACGCAGGCCTTCGCGTTTCCACACTTGCGCTGAGCTAGTCGCGACATCGCTCGTAGTCAGTTCAGCGACGATCTTAGTAACTTCCGACTCGCCATGAAGCTTTTCTTCGAGACTGAGAGTAGACACCTTGGTAGTGAGAAAGCCCCACTTCAACTCTCGTTCCGGGATCGAAAGCCCATGCCAGGACTTCGCCAATCTCAGATCCTCTCGCTTGATGCGTAAGAGGAATTTCGTCTGCGCTTGCAGTTCCGTGTCATCAGGTAGATGATCTCCACCCTTGCGCCGACTGTACTGTATCCATGGTGCAATGGGCAGCGAGAAGTCCATGTATGGAACATCGACCCTTGCAATCGTGTCAGCGCCGGACAGTCGTTCGTTCTCGATTTTCTTGTTGGCGCGCCTAGCCTGCTCTTCGATTTCATGGAAGAATTGGTCAGAGTCAACCCTATCTTCGTCATCCTCACCCCATGGCTTGTAGAGTAAGGATTCGTCCGCGAAAGACACAGACTTTAGCCTTTTCATGGGCGAACTAGAACACATCGATGGCGTAAGAGGACCTTCCACTTTGAGATCCTCAGCTCGACGCTTCAGTATGGGCGAACTGGTTGGTTCGAAGTGAGGACTGAATTGAGGGGGGTGAGTAAGATCAAATAGCATCGAATCACTGCTATTCGAGTTTGTGCGAAGAACAGCGTCCGCTGCCAGAATTCGCTCCTGCAGAGCCTGCGCCTCAATGATAACCGAGTCGGCAGTATCTGAATCAAATGGCAGACGATTTGTGGGTGAGGATGGAATGTATGGTGTCAGTGGCGGCGATTCTGGAAGTAAGGGCGGTGTCACAGGCCGAATAGTGGGCTTCTGAGTCGATTAGCAAGCGGAATTAGACAATAATACGACATACTTGTTTTCGTATCAGGCTCTCTGCCTCCAGCCTTTGGCCGTCTTCCGGAACATACGCGTCTCGAACAGTGTCCTGCAGATAAACCAACACCTCCCGTGAGATGGCGAGCTTTTCGGCTTTGACCCGCGCGTCGCACTGTGCAGGGTAATCGAGATACCTGGTTGGCCAGCCAAAGCCCTCGTCATTTTCTTCTACCGTGATCTCCGAAGGAATCTGTGAGTTCTTGAAGTCTGGCACAGGTGTATCACCGAAGCTGAGCAAATCAAGCTCATGATCAGATCCTAGCACAGGTAGCTCTTGACGTAGATCGCGACTCCAGGTCCGGCTATTAGTAACCGTCAGGTCGCTTGCAAGTTCATCTTGAAGAGCATGCGCTGCCTTGAGGAGCAACGCAGTGTCTTTGTTTACCGTAAGCTTTTCTTTGACAAGCCCGCTGACAGCCGTGTCGATGGTCGCATCGGAGGGTTCGTGAAGATATCGATCAAACTCATCGTCTAGTGGTGACTGAAGATGGCGAATGTGCAGTAACTCTGTCTCATAGTTCACGCAAACGCCTTGCGTTCTCGCCCATTCGAGGACGCTTGGCTCCGATGTGTCCAGGCCGAGGTCCAGTTCCATACTGATCGCGTCTGAAGGATGCTCGATCTCAAGTAATGTGGGTAACAATAGTCGTTAGCCAGCTGTTGTTCGTAAAAAAGGCGCAAATGGTGAGTGTCGATTGCGAGGGTTGCGCCTTCTTCGTTGTATCTGCCTTGGCGTCCACGTGGACACGCGCTTTGCAGTCGCGCAATGTCACAGTAAGGAAGGAGCATGTAAAGTTTGAAGATGATTTGATTTCTTGATTCATTAACTCGTGGCTTATTTGCGCCATGATATGTTCTAGGCCGTCCTGTATATTTTCATGTGAATGTGCAAAGAATGTTGAACTATGTACATGCGAGTAGGACTGTATTTCCTTCCACTAGATACGCGCATCTATTTGGGAACAGGCTTCTGACCGAAGCCGAGAGACTGGTTTCCTCCATTGAAAGCAACGAGCTGGGCCTTGAACATTGTGTCACCGTAAATCTGCAGACCGGCGCCCTGGTTGCCTTGTACACCGCCGAAGCAGGTCGTGTTGGCTGCATCAACTGTGGCGAAAGTGATCTGGCTACCGGGGATCTTGGCCATGTATGAGTCGCCGATTGCGACACTCATGTCAGGGAGCGCAGTACCGCACGGGTAGATGAAGCCACCGACCTGAGCGTTAAGCTGGGCACCCTGGACTTGCGAGTAGTATGCCTCAGCAACCTGCTGGTCGACGAGCAGGAGCGATGTACCGGTGTCGGCGATGGCGTCGGAGCCTTGAGGGTTCTCGAAGAGCTGGTCGCCAACAGCAAACTTGGTAGAGCCGAATTGCCAGAAGCCAGTGTCAGCCTTAACTGGGATCCATGCCATATCGCCTTCAAACTTCGTAGCATCAATCTTGCCGAACTCGTAAACACCGGTGCCATCTGGGTCGAGGTCGGCAGTGAAGACAGGCATGTCTAGGTTGGGCATGACGTTGTCGAAGAAGGTCTTTGCGGGGGTCTTCTTGGTACCGTCGTTGACAGTGTTGAGGTTGGAGAATGCAAGACCGACGAGGCCATCAGTGTTGGTGTCCTGGACGAAAGACTGGGATACTTGGTTGGCTAGCTCGACAGTCTGACCCTCAACCTTGACTCCTCCAATGGTGACAGTGTCAGTGCCAACGATACCAGCAGCGCCGGAACCGTCACCGTAGCTGATCTTCCACTGAGCACCGGCAGTGGCCTTGAAGGAAGTAGACTTGGATGCGTCGAAAGCGGAGTGTTGGCCGATCAGTTGCGGGTCGAGCTCAGTACTGAAACACCAAAGATCAGAAGAGCCTGAGTCGAAGTCCAAGTTCAGGGTCTGGCCACCAATATCGACGGGCGACAAGAACAGAGCAGCGTTGTCCTCAGGGTTGGCTGCAACACTGCCAGTTTTGTTGCCACCAGTGGCAGCAGCTGCGGTCACGTTCTGGCTCTGCTTGGAGAACGAGATGAAACCCTCCTTGACCATGAAGTCTTCCTTCACCTTGAAGTTGTACTTCCTGAACACCTTCCTCATAGCAGCAGCGCCATTAGGTCCAGTCGGGTGAGCCCTGTTGATTTGCCTGGGAACTTTGAACGAGCGTTTTTGGAGACCCCTCTTGCGGGCAGGGGCGGGAGCGGCAAGCACAACGGCCGCCAAAAGAGTGACGAAGAATAAGAATCGTAGAGAAAACATGTTGAGCTGTTGAGCTAATGCTGACCGGCAGCCGGACTGGAAGAACCTGTCGTTTGGAAAGAAGAGAATGGGGTAAAGAAAGGAAGGTACGAAACGAAACACAACTTCCTCGAAAGAAACAGAACAGAAGGCTCGGCCTGATGGTAGTCCACGGTTCTCAAGGAGGGTGCGAAAAGAGTGCTTTTAAAGAAGGAACGTCTATGCGACCAACGATGTAGAGACAGTGAAACTCGAGAAGGATGAAACCTGAGCCTGCAATCCGAACCGATGCCGACGCATGATGAATGATCTGGGAGCGCTAACTCGACACTCAAGGCCAAGCTGAGATCCACGCGGCAGCAGACAAAACGCTACGCGTGCTGCATTGTCGATGATCCATGGGGAACATCAAGCCTAGCTCCTGTCAGGTTTTCAGGCACAGAAATCTAGAAGCCCGTCTAGTTGGCTACTAATCGTGCGAAACGGGGACTATGGGTCTAGATACGGCGATGTGATTGGCCCAACAGCATCTCGAGCCTCCTCGGAGAGGTATCGATAAGGCAATGGGGGTCGTTACGCGTCCAGCTTGACGCTGTTGAAGAAATGTGGAGAGAGCTAGCATCAGGCAGGGCTCCGACTGCAGGTACGTTTCAGTACCGTGGTACCGACAAACGTCAGAGTCGCACGAGAGGCTCTCGAACGGTAGTGCTAGCTTGCGCCTGGTGATGCTAGAAAGTTGTTTCTGTCAGCCACCTCATTTCAACTGACCATTGTGGCTGCTCTGGTGTTCTGGAGAGGTACGCCTCTTCTCGCCGAGTCGCTTGAAGTTGACGACGCGCGGTCATGCCGTCAACGAGCATGAACGGGTGAGCTGACGAAGCCCGGGGGACGGTGTTTCGCAATGCCAAGACCAGACAAGCTAAATGGGCGTCGCCTCATGGATGAAACAAAGGGCCCGCCAACCCGCAACTCGAGAAGCCGGAGGTCTTCCCATGTCTCTCGTACATCCGGGATGTCAGACAAGCAGTCGCGGCGAAGCTTAACTGTCATGTTGCGGGATCGGATTTGCAGTTTCTCCAGGACCAACCAACCTGATGCGCGTCTTCCCAAACATGCTCCATCATTACAAACATGCTTCATCGCGGTTTCGCGCCACTTATCTCGGCAAGCAAACAGACTGGGCATCCGCCGATGCGAGGTTCATGTTTCGAACATCAAGGCTTTGAAGCTGTTGGTGAGGCCGGTGCGGCATTTTCCCTGATTTCGCAAGCCGTCGCGTTCAAGGGCGAATGGCCGGCGCCAGGCGGCGTGGATGATCGAGCTTCTCCACTTCATTCTTTGGTACAGCGGCGTAGGGGAGATTGCGCAAAGCATGATTGAGCGCTGTGGAGAATAGTCCGCACGCTGCGCAGGTGGCGTTGAGAAAAGCAAGTTCATCGTTCTAGACAAGCGAGAGGGTGTCGTCACGAGAGGGAACCGCAAGTGCACGGGCGCGGAAGAAAGACATTTTCAAGGGTCTTGACACTGACAGGCGAGGAAGGTTGCATGAAATCAATGCATATATTCGAATATTGAATGAAGGCGCTTTTGTTCTATCATAAGGTGACATTCCGTCTACGTCGTCAACGCGCCGACCGATGCCTTTTCATCATCATGAGCACGACATCAACGCCCACCCGCACACCCAACTTCACCGTTGCCAGCTCTCAGATCTTTCGCTCTGCGAGAATTGTGCAACGTCCACACTACATCCAAGCGATGGGTGTGTAACTTGGTGCTGCACCTTCGAGTGCGGTGGCGTCCAACCCCTTGGGCATGAACTTCGTACTCCGAACATCGGCCGCCTGCATAGGGCGATGCGTGGCGTCTGGATGGCGTTGGTATGGCTCAAATGTTGATCATTAAACGTGTTCATCCAAGCAGTTCCACATCTAGACCGATGGCCCTCATGAAGAGGTTTACGTTGGCTGTACGTGCGCTTGCCATCTCAGCGGGCAAAGCCTTGCTAACAGAGACCGTCTCCATGACGCGGTCCTTGACGCCGAGCACCAACCTCTGTTGCTGCTCGGGACTGGCGCCCACACCCATTGCAGCCAGGAACTGCCAGATGTACATGTCGTCGGTATCGTTGATAGTTCCTGGGAACAAATAAGGAAGCACAGGCTCGATGACGTCAAACAGACGATTGTAAAGTGTCGTCCATTGCTGCCAGTCGGTAACCATCTCGGGAGCTGACTGCTTAAGAAGCTCGGCGCGAGAGATGAGGAACGTAAGGAGAGTGAGACCGATCCTGCTTCGAGCCACAGTATGGAGGTTGGTACGGTCCAGCACAAGACCGAGAAGGCCGATGACAATGTTCAACGGCGCCTCTGAGATGTGCGCATGGAGAGGCGACATGACAGTGCTAGAGAAAAGGTCAACCTCTTCTCGGATCGCTGCACTCAAAGGCTCCTCGGGCGTAGCGATAGCACGGCCGACCACGGAAAGGGCATCTAGGTGGACAACGATCATAGTGACGACGGTGATGCGTTCCTGCTCGTTAATGTGGCGGAAAAGTCGTGGAAGTACCTTCTTTCCCTTGGCGTGTGAAAGGATGGAGATGAACGGATGCGGTGTGCTAGAGTTTGTTAGCAAGAAATAGGTTTTGGGAATATTACAACATACGCAGGGTTGATGGGCTCCATGATCTTTGTGTTCAACCACAGTTGCTGGTGGAGTGCTTCGATCTTCGAACGCCATTCCATATGTGCCTGAATGGCTTCAGGAGGGCTGCTCTCTTGGATCGGCGGTGGCATTGCCCGCTCGTGGTCTTCCATTTGCATGAGTGTCTTGTACACTGCCTCGATGTTGCGAAGAGCCTCCTTCCGGTCAGCGATGGAGGACCGGTGGTTCTTAGGCAGCTTATCGTTCGTCTCTGGCCGCTTCAGGTTGAGCAGCGGTCGAGGGGTCTTGGAGTTGCTGAACGCAATCTTTCCAAGACTACCTTCCACAACAAGCTGCCTCGCCTTTGGTCTTGCTTTGGCCGCCTCAACTGCGCGCTGGATCTGTTGCTCCATGCGCTGCATGTGGTTGTCTCCGCCTCGGCCTTGTCTGCGGTTGCCAAACCTGTTGTTGGTCTGGAATAGGTATGTTTGGGCAAATTGGCTTGCTGGCTGCTGGGGGTTTTGGCGTGGAGCACCCCGGATCTGGGTGAAGACCTGGTAGTAGAAGTCTTCTGCAATGGCTGCCTCAGGCCCTCTCTCCTCCAAGTTGCCCGTCGCAGTCATCAGTTGCTGCAACTGGATTCGGGTGATGAAGTTCTTGTCCTGCGGCGTCATCAGGCCGTTGTCCTTTGCTAGGAGAGCAATCTTGTGGTTTCGCTTGGCCCGCTTAGCATCTTCTTCGAGGAAGGCGGCACGCTCGGCCTCAGATAGCTGAAGAAGCTGCTCGGGGTGGGTGATGACCATTCCTGGGAACGACGGACCGCGATTGTGTCCTGCTGGAACACCACGAGGGCCCTGGGGAGCATTTTGAACGATAGGCTGGCCTTGTCCTGACAGACGGTTTGGGTTTTGCAAGATCTGCCGAGGCTGGGTGGGTGTGCCCTGGGCCTGAGCCTGGGGTGTTGCTTGGCGCTGCTGCTGAGCGCCGGGCTCGTTGGATTGGGGCCTTTGTCGCTGTAGGATGGTGGGCTGTTGGGGGGGCTGGGATCGGACGGGTTGGTCGGGGAGCTCAGCGCGGACCTGCTGCTGTTGCTGTCTAGGCGGCATTTGTTGAGCGGGCTGCTGCTGTTGAGGCCTTTGCAGAATCTGGGGCGCGAACTGTCCTGGCATGCCGGGGTACTGGGGCTGTCCATGGGGAAACTGTTGCTGCTGCTGGGCGAATTGCTGTTGCTGCGCAAAGCCGGGGAAGCCCGGGGGCGGGGCCTGTTGTACTGGAGGGGTGCCTATTGACTGAGCGCGCATCATGGCCTCGACCTCTTCCATGCTCATGGCCTTTCTGGTGGGCGCGGGCTGTTGCGAAGCGGCGGGGGGCTGCGGCGAAGGCTGCCTCTGCGCAGCGGGCTGCTTGGGCTTGAGACCCCAGATATCGGCGCGCGCCTCTAGCTGAGGGATGTATTCTGGGTCCTTGTAGCTCTCGTAGCCAGTGCGGTTTGGCTTCGACGCCTGGGGGACGGGTGGTCTCTGCTGGTACTGTTGGGTTTGCTGTTGCTGGTATTGCTGCTGATGGTGCTGCTGCTGTTGCTGCTGCTGCTGCTGGGGGTACTTCTGACGGGCCTGGTACAGCATCTGCTCCTCCTGCAGCGTGTTTGATACCGCAGAGGTCTGGCCGGCGAAGTCGAAGTGTTTTCCGACTGACTGCTGCGTGGCAGGGCCGCCGCCGAAGGTGTCGTCGTTGAGGTCATCGGCATCGTCGTCGAGCTGGTCGCCTAGGCCGTCGTATGTCTCCTCGAAGTCGATGCTGTGGATGGGGTAAGTGGGAGCTGTGGGCTACGTGAGACGCGACCTACACATCGTCATCGGCTGCCCCTCCACCCAGTGCGGCGAAGGCGTCGTGCTGGCCAAACCCGGGCGCATTGGAGGCGTGGCCGCGGTCTCTTGGGCCGCTGGGGTCAAAGCCAAAGAAAGACATGGTGGGCGGAACCCGGCGGTGGGGTTGGTGTGGTGGTGTTTATGCGGCGGTCGAAGTGATATTTAACACGCGAAAGTGGTGACGTTGGGCTACTAAGTAAAGGCAGATTGGCAGGGCGGCAGTCGCATGGGCGCACCCACAAATAAATGGCGGCAGATGGGCAGATAACTCGCGACAGGCGAATGACGCCGCAGGGTACAGTAACGGCGACGGAGTGGGTGGGTGAGGTTGTGCCTGTGGTACTGCGAACCCAGGTTGGCTCCATCGCGGCTTGCTCCCAATTGGCGGCCAGGCCCGGCCTTACCCAAAGAATCCGACTCCCTGCGAAGTGGCTACATTACTACGGCGCCCGTCGACGACTCCTATCCACCTCGTGTCCTCCATCCCTCACGTTGCCTGCCACCTCAACCTCGACTACTGGCTGATGCGCATTCCCCGCGTCTCGCATCCGCTCGTTTTTCTGTAGTCCTATACTCCGGGGAACCAACGCGCCGACAGCGTCCGTCCGGCACCACCCCTAGGGCTACCCGTAGACGTCTCACACCTCGTCCGCGCCTCCTCCGTACCCCACACGTCGTCCGCAGCAGAGGCAATTGAGCAGCGAAAGTGGAGGGCTCCGACGTCACCGAAAAGAAGCAGCCCAAAGAGCAGCTGCCTCAGGGCCATTCCGCCATGGCCGGCAACCAGCGGTATATCCGCTACCTTGTCTTTGCCGTAGTGGTACGAGCCGGCATCATGTGACGATTGCGGAAGCAGCGACTGACCATACCCAGGCCCTCGTCCTCCTCTACTTCATCGGCTCCTCGTCGTCTGTGCCTTCCGCGAGCTGGCCAGTCTACCAAGACAACAAGTCGCCCGCGACTCCTCCCCAGGGCAACGCTCCCGTCGCCAACGATGAAGTCCAGCAAGTCACGCCTGGCACCACGCCCCACGAGCAGGAGGGCCTCCCCCCCGCGACTGCCCCCGGCGACCGCATGAACGCGACCTTCGTCACCCTCGCCCGCAACTCCGATGTCTGGGAAATCGCCAAGTCCATCCGCCAAGTCGAAGACCGCTTCAACCGCAAGTTCCACTACGATTGGGTTTTCCTCAACGACGACGAGTTCGACGACCAATTCAAGAAGGTTACATCAGCTCTTGTGTCCGGCAAGACCAAGTACGGCAAGATTCCCAAAGAGCACTGGTCCTTCCCCGAATGGATTGACCAGGACAAGGCCGCCAAGGTCCGCGAGACCATGAAGGAGAAGAAGATCATCTACGGCGACTCCGTCAGCTACCGACACATGTGCCGCTACGAGTCTGGCTTCTTCTTCCGCCACCCCTTGATGCTCGACTACGAGTGGTACTGGCGCGTCGAGCCCAGCGTCGAGCTCTACTGCGACATCAACTACGACACCTTCAAGTTCATGGCCGACAACAAGAAGAAGTACAGCTTCACCCTCAGTCTTTACGAATACGTCGAGACCATTCCTACCCTCTGGGACGCCACCAAGAACTTCACCAAGCACTACCCCCAGCACATTGTCAAGGACAACGGCATGAAGTTCCTTAGTGACGACGGCGGTGAGACCTACAACCACTGTCACTTCTGGTCCAACTTCGAGATCGGCAACCTCAACTGGCTCCGCTCCGACGCCTACATCGACTTCTTCACCTCGCTCGACCATGCTGGTGGTTTCTTCTATGAACGATGGGGCGATGCTCCCGTGCACTCCATTGCTGCTGGTCTGCTACTACAAAAGGACGAGATCCACTTCTTCAACGACATTGCCTACTACCACGTCCCATTCACACATTGCCCAACGGGCGAGCAATACCGCCTCGACCACAAGTGCTCTTGCAATCCCAAGGACAACTTTGACTGGAACGGATACAGCTGTAAGTTGCCAGTACACTAACCAATATTCATATACTAACACGTCACAGGCACATCTCGTTTCTACGAAATGCAAGGCATGGAGAAGCCAGCAGGGTACGAAAAGGAGCAATAAGCGCTCAATCTCACGTCTGTCCTTCGTCCTACTTCGATCCGAACAATCTTCAATTTATCCACTTTCTTGACACACCGGTTCTGACTTATTGTCAAGCGCACCACTCTCGACTGCAGCCAAGGTTTGGCGTGTTGTGAAAATTGTCTTTTTCGTCTTCTTCGTCTTGATCTTACTGGCCACGTGCATCATCAGACGGCGGCGGCCTACTGGGCGGTTCACCCAGGTAAACCAGGGAAAATTTTCGTTGCCCAAGTGGCCCTCGTAGGGATAATCCGAACCAATATCGGTGCGTATGGTTGGATTGGCGTTGGTAGCGGTTCAAATTGTTGGCTGTTTGTCTTGGCACGGCATGCCAATGTGGGCGAGGGAATGGCGGTCATACATGTATTGTCTTGTTGAATTGATGTATGCGTGTAGTTGATGACTGTAGACTAATGACCGCATTCATATGCAGACATTGAAGACATCACTATCACATCTCAACCAGCGATACAAGGTGTCCACATCTGCAGAACTAATTTACCAAAACCTGATCCCATGGGAACGGACATTTGAGCTTTTCGCGTGTGATTTTTTAAATCACGGTGTTCACCGACATGGTTTGGTTTGTTCTGATTTTCAGACAGACCTTCTCCTCACACATGTAGTCGATACGGTATCATTTTAGGGTTGGGGCTGACAACCAGCTCTGTGTGTGATACTGAAGAGAAGAAGAGGACGCAAGACAGACTCTTATACGTCTTGATAGCTCAGCTTGGTTTTGGTCGTTAACCCAAAACAACCTCGGGAAAAACCCATGAGCTTGTTCAAATGACGCACAGAGCCGCGTGTGTGGGGTGAAAGGAATTGATGAAGTTTCACACATGAGAACGCAGAGGTGATCATTTCGATAAGGCTTTTGAACACAGCAGGCGGAACGTAAGTGTATTGTTCTGAGATTTTCTCGCACTCGCTCTCTTCCATATATTTTTCGTCCTCAGGTTTCGGGAACCCCGCCCACACACAACGGGCATTGCTTTAGATTTCGGAAATACTGAACATAAACACTGCCGAAGAAGAGAAGTGAATGATCACAAGTCTGATTTATATAGCCGTCGCGGCTACTTGATATAGTATGTGGATGATTTACGAGAAGGGATGATGTTTTCCAAAACCCGAACGCGATGTCATGAAGCCGGAAATCCGCCTCGGTTTTTTCACCAACATGAAACTTTGTTTCTATGGTTTTGACTACCACTGCTTGGCCGGAGGAAGACATTTTGATGGTCTCCATGTTTTGGTGAATGTCATCTGCGGATCAGAACACGATGTAAGAAACTGCTCTGGTTTCACACATAGGTTTTTGGGTTGGACTTTGTGCTCAGCTCGCTCTCCAGTCATAAGAACAATCTGCAGCAAGTTTTGAAGAATACAAAAGGAAGGAAAAGAAGAAGAGAAGGTGTGAGAATCTGGTTTATATGCACACTAGCGCTACCAACACATGCTCGCTAAAGAACGCTCATATCAATAAAGCCCAAAATCATTCGCCCGACATGCCATGAGTTAACAAACCGTTCAGTCGTTGTAGTTCACAACACCACTCCCATCCTTGTTTGCCTTGCGAATTCCATACTTCTCACTCAACTCGTCTTCCTGCGACCAGCTGTTTGGGTCAAGGTACGGCCGCTCGGCACGAACAGTTACCCGGACAGCGTGACGACGATGAGGTGCAAAACCATATGTAGCGGAGTGATTCTGCCCATTGTCAGATTTGCATCGTTTTAAAAAAGAAGCTCAACATACCGTAACCCTGTTATCCCAAATCGCAACATCCCCCTCGTTCCACTGAAACCTAGCATGAACCTCGGGACTCGTCGCCACAATCTCAGTCAAGAAACTGATGATATGATCCGACTCCGTCTTGGGCACACCAACAATCTTGGTTACAAAGCCAGGGTTGAAGAAAATGCTCTTCCAGCCCGTGACAGGATTCGTCCGGACGAGTGGGTGTTCGGTGGTGACGGGTTCGCGACGTACTGTTCTGCCGAGGTCGCGTGAGCCTTGGGCTTGCAGCTCAGCGGAGTGGAGAGCAGTGAGCGATTCGAGGTACTTTTGCATGTGGGGTGAGAGCATGTCGTAGGCTGCGTATTGGGAGGACCAGAGGGTATCGCCGCCGCCGCCACGGGGTGGGCCGGTGAGGACTTTGAGGGATGTGTAGGAGGGAGGTTGAAGTTCGTATGTTACCTGTTTCGGGTCAGTAAAACTTGTATCTTTTTTGATGGGGTCTCGAAGTCTTACATCAGAGTGCCAGAGGAAGGATGGTGTGAATAAAGCCCTTAGGTCTGGGCTATCCTCGCCGGTATAGATGACATGAACGTCTTCCAAGCCCTCACGCTTCGGCACACCAGTTGTGGCATGCTTGTGCAGCTCACCGAAGTATTTTCCCAGCTCCCTTTGCTCATCGATGCTGAAGTTTTTCTGATTCCGGAAGAACACAACCCCACGCGTGGCGATCAGTCGAGCCAGGTCGTTCTTCTGAGCATCTGTGAGGTTTGCTAGATCGACGCCGTGTATCTCAGTACCGATCTTTGGATTGTATTCGAAGACATCTGTGGCGGTTGCGAGGAGGTTCTTGAAGTTGGGATCGCCTAGTTGGCCTTTGTCGGCGTAGGGTATCTCAGTGTAGGCTGGCCATGTGATGTTGGGGAAGTGTGGTCGTAGGTCTTCGTACTTGTACGGTTCGGCATGCTTCTTGACAGTGGTACGGCCAGGCACGTAGCTGTGGGCGTTGCTAGACTTTGGTGTTGGGAGAGATCTTGATGTAGCGGTGGATTGGTAGTGGGGTTCGACGAGTCCTGGCGCCATCGTTGTCGCTGGGATATGTAGGATATTCGTGTGATTACAAGTACTGTGCAGCCCACAGCAGTAGGTTATTGTCACTCAAATGAGACTTGCCTCTGGAAGGTAAGACAAGAAGTATGGCAGGGGAATATGGCTGCCAGTGGATGCTGGTGGATGATGTATCTTCAAATGACGAAGGAAAAGTATGTTAACGTAAGGTTTCTAAAGATTGGTAGATAATTGATGAATACTTAGAGAGAAGAAACATGCTCTTATATGTACTACGTTAGTACAGTATACGTGTGATTCATGTCATCGTGAGTTACTGCCATATCGAGCCAATTGCGCCATCGCACACAATATAACAGCCGATCGAGCTTGACGCTGAGCCGCATGCCACTAGCATCGAGCTGCAGCCGCATACGGTCAGAGCATGCAAGGCACAAGATACTGTGCAAGTCCAACACTGCGAAGTTGATGTATACGAAGGAAGTTGGGTGTGAAAACCGTTGTCTTTTGGGATCCCACCTTCCAAGTCATGTTTGCCATAATTCGTAAAGTCAAGAGCTTTCTCTCACTGTACTTGCAGTACCAGATCACAGTTGGTATGTTGGAGTTGGAGTGAGATCGGCGCTAGTGAGATGATGCAATTTGACGCGATCCTGTGCTTCGAATTCAACATCGTGGTGCTCGGACCACCTTATAACGCCGACGGCCCTTTCCAGGATATTGACCACCCCTCACTCTTGCTGAAAGTCGGTGTATTAAGAAGCAGACTTGCAGATGCTCTCGAATCTTCCATCAAATCGCAGTGGGAGACGTAACAAAGGCCTCGGTCACATGGAAGTTGCGGCTATGCGATGATGCTATCGTAACACCATCAAGTGACGTTTCCACCTCTTACTTGTTGCACTGTCCGTTTTTATAGTCCCCATACCAGAGCACAATATCTCAAGCATGTACCTCCACTCGAACCCTGTGATGTATGATGCCAGTATTCCGTGCGGGCCGCACCTTGTAAAACCCACTGATAGCTGGGCACTTCCTGAAAACCCCCCTCCAGACATCAGCAGCACATGATTGTGGTGTGCGTTGGTTGTTGAGATGAGGTTTTACTGAATTCCATGGTTGCGACACACTGAAGCCAAGGCTTACGTTCGACTTATGATGAGATCCAGTCAAACATTTGTCGATACACCAGCAAGATGTCGTTCTCAATCGGTCGACTTGGGTCCGATAAATGGGATGGGTACACCATTCACGTTCATCCATTGAATCGAACTTCCGCCAGATTTTTGTCCAGCTTCCACTCGTGTCCTTGCAGCAGTGTCCGGAGCGTATGTATGCGCCTTTGTGCCCTCACTCATTGTGCCCGCTCGTCCCATTTCCGCCTGCTTGGCTATGCGCGCTCGTTCGATTATTGGGTTCCAGTAAGAGATGAATCGATAACCTCCGTAATTGAAGAGGAGCAGGATGAACGAAGTCTTCAAGGGTTGCTGCAACATTCTCTCGTGCGTCCTCTGGATAAACTGGTGTATGCGTGCAAACACCATCGTGACAGTGATCGTGAGTATTACGAGGTACGCTGAGACAGCTGAAGGATTAAGCGATGCGGGCGAGGAATTGGATGTCGGTGGTCGAAAGATCTATGGATGTAGGACATCGTTGAATCTTGGAACGGAGCCAGCGCGGGGACTGGAGCCTAGCGCGAAATCGCCGCCGAGCCGCATCAACTTTCTTGACGATGCAACACACCTTCAGCCATTCACACCACTCTTTCGCAGCCACACCGGGAGGAAGAAGAACAGTCGCGTAGCATTATCGCGTGACATCTTCAAACCTAATAACACCCAGAATCCTCCCTGCGACCGCGGCATCCCCATATCCTACACCCCGACTATCCAAACGAACGCGCGCCGCGCGCGAGGTCACCTCATACAAGAAAAAAAGACGGAACATCTGGAAGCCTACGTTGATGTTGGGCCATTCACTTTGCATCTTTACAAGTTGATGTAGTCTGCAGACCATATCCTACACTCCAACATTCCAAGGAAAAGCGCGCCACGGGCCAAATCGCAGCCATGGACGATCTCGCGAACCTCGAGTTCTTATCGCTCGTCTCGAAGGTCACCTCCGAAATCCAGAACCACGTCGGTGTTTCGGATAAGACGCTCGCCGAGTTCGTTATCGATCAGCACGCGAACTGCAAAGGCGTCACAGACTTCAAAAACCAGCTGGAGGCCATGGGCGCAGAATTTCCCCAGAGCCTGGTGGAGAGCATTGACCGTCTCATCTTGACGCTTCATCCCAAGTACAAGAACAAGGGAGCAAAGGAATCTGGCGCAAACGGGCAAAACGGCACCGATGCGACAGACCGCAAAACGCGCGTTTTCAAGGGCCTGGCGATACCGGACAAGGACGTGGAATACGAGGTGGCAGACGACGAGCCCGAGAAGGAAGCAACACAGATCGACGCATTAGACGATACGTTTGCGATGCTGGAGGGACTGGCAGGGAAGGGGTCAAGCAGCAAGCCCAAGGAGAGGTCGCGGAAAAGAAGCATGAGCCCATACGACAGCGACGACGACATGAGCAGGAGTAAGCGACACAGACAGAGAGACCGGTCGTACTCTCGCTCGCGATCGAGGAGCCCGCGACGAGGCAGACCGCAGAACGACGAGCTGGTCTTCGAGGACGAATTTGGCCGCACGCGGACCGTAAAGCCAAACAACAAGCAACGAAGCCGCAAGAAGTACCGCGACGAAGATCTAGACGAATTCCGACGACCGCCTACCCCTGAGCTTGACGACGAGCCCGTGTTATACAAGGTGTACGATGGCAAGGTCACAGGTGTCAAGGATTTCGGATGCTTCGTCCATCTACAAGGCGTCAAGGGCAAGGTCGATGGGCTGGTACACGTCACACAAATGATGGAAGGCCGGGTGAACCACCCTTCCGACCTCGTATCGAGATGGCAAGAGGTCAAGGTCAAGGTCATCAAGAACGAGAACAACAGGATTTCGCTGTCGATGAAAGAGGTGGATCAGCGGACCGGTCAAGATCTTGATCCTGGCAAACGCATAGCCTCGTTCGGCACAGGTGCAAACTCCCAGGGACTCGGAGGAATACCAGGGCTTGACAGCTCCGTCCCAGTCGTGGAGGACGGTTTCAACAGTCGCAAGAACGGAATGCGGAAGCGCATGACCTCACCAGAACGTTGGGAGATAAAGCAACTCATTGCTTCTGGTGTTATACCAAAATCTGACTACCCCGACATTGACGAGGATTTCAACGCGCACATCAACGGCGAAGGTGGTTTTGAAGAAGAGGAGGATGTTGATATCGAAGTCCGTGAGGAAGAGCCACCCTTCTTGGCGGGTCAGACGAAGCAATCACTGGAGCTGTCACCGATTCGAGTTGTCAAAGCGCCTGATGGCTCGCTCAATCGCGCTGCTATGGCTGGTGATACATTAGCGAAGGAGCGTCGTGACCTCAAACAGCAGGAAGCCCAAGAAAAGGCTGCCAAGGAGGCAGCGAATGTTGACTTGAGTAGCCAGTGGAACGATCCTATGGCCCAACAACGACAATTCGCCAGCGATCTTCGCAACACCCGCACGAACGAACCCAGCCAAGCGTTACCGGAGTGGAAAAAGATCTCCACGAACAGTAGGGAAACCTCTTTTGGCAAACGTACAAACATGAGCATCAAGGAGCAACGAGAGTCGTTGCCTGTCTTCAAGTTCAGGAACCAACTTCTGGAAGCTATCGCCAAGCACCAGATCCTGATTGTGGTCGGTGACACTGGATCCGGAAAGACCACGCAGATGACCCAGTATTTGGCCGAGGCTGGCTACGGTAACGAGCTGGTCATCGGTTGTACCCAGCCTAGGCGTGTAGCAGCCATGAGTGTTGCCAAGCGTGTCGCTGAGGAGGTTGGCTGCGCTCTCGGTAACGAGGTTGGTTACACGATTCGTTTCGAGGATAAGACTTCGCCAGATACCCGTATCAAGTATATGACGGACGGTATTTTGCAGCGTGAGATCCTGTTGGACCCCATGCTGTCAAAGTACAGCTGCATCATGCTTGACGAGGCCCACGAACGTACAATCGCTACTGACGTCTTGTTTGGACTGCTGAAGAAGACACTCAAACGACGCCCGGATATGAAGCTTATAGTGACGAGTGCCACTTTGGATGCCGACAAGTTCTCGGAGTACTTCTACAAGTGTCCCATCTTCTCAATTCCAGGTAAGTTTTGGCTCCACGAAATGCATGTGAGACAAATACTGACTTCTCTGCAGGTCGAACTTTCCCGGTCGAGGTCATGTACAGTAAGGAGCCAGAGTCCGACTACCTTGACGCGGCGCTGGTCACGGTCATGCAGATCCACTTGACGGAGCCAGCAGGTGACATTCTGCTGTTCCTGACAGGTAAAGAGGAGATTGACTCCTCGTGCGAGATTATATCAGAGCGCATGAAAGCTTTGGGTCCAAACGTACCAGAATTGATGATTCTGCCTATTTACGGTGCCTTGCCGTCGGAAGTGGCCTCTCGTATCTTCGAGCCTGCCCCCAACGGCACGCGCAAAGTCGTCATTGCTACCAATATCGCTGAGACCAGTCTGACTATAGACGGCATCTACTATGTCGTGGACCCTGGTTTTGTCAAACAGAGTTCCTATGATGGAAAACTAGGAATGGACCGTCTGCAGATTACCCCGATTTCGCAAGCCCAGGCTCGCCAAAGAAGTGGACGAGCAGGTAGAACAGGACCAGGAAAGTGTTTCCGTCTGTATACCGAGGCCGCATTCCAGAACGAAATGTTGCCGACTACGATTCCGGAGATCCAGCGCCAAAACTTGTCAAACACGATTTTGATGCTCAAGGCTATGGGCATCAACGATCTGTTACACTTCGACTTCATGGATCCACCGCCTACAAACACCATGTTGACAGCCCTGGAGGAGCTGTATCAGTTGGGCGCACTGGACGACGAAGGCCTGCTAACGCGTCTCGGTCGACAGA